CCCCCCCCCCCCCCCCCCCCCCCAAAAGAAAAATCTGATAATGCATTTTCCCAAATGCACATTATATGATCTACATTATTTCACGTTTCATTGAAGAATTCATCCAATGTAGCTTTTTTTTTTGTTATAAATTCAGAGCAACACCACATGAGCCCAATTTTGTATGAAGTGCAGTGCCACATCTGTATTCACAATGTGACTGCTGAGGGATAACTAATGCTGAAGAGATACAAACACCCTGTGAAGTTGGAGATGGCCTCATGTTGCTATATATTAATGATTATTCATCAAAAGAAAGAAAAAAGTTACCTCAAAGCAAGTTCATTCATGGGCGAAGCATCCCTCAAGCTCTCAACATGTAGTCAATGCGCTCACATGGGAGGGCAGCAGGCAGCTGATACATTACGATAAGAAGACACTGGATGGATGGATGGATGATCTCTGCCTTCCTCTGCTCTCTGCTGCTTTGGAATGTGTGTTCTCAGAGGCACCTAAGTGCCGTAATGGCAGAGGACCAAACAGATACTCTTTCCTGACATTGATGCTGATTTCCTTCGGCTTTATCACAGTAAAAAAGCTCTTCCTGCTGTCGGCCATTATCGCCTTTAAGTCAGCTATCTGGTACTTTTCTTCGGATATGCATTAAAACAGAGCATTCCCCACGTATCCACCTACTGACGTTATCACTGACTTCAGGACTAACAAGCAGGCGCCATCTTGAACTGCCAAACAATTACAAACACATAAGTGCCAATTGAATGCCCTTCTCCAATAACAATTCTCACCTCAGTGTGTGGACGAAGATCCAGTCTGAAATGCAACCCCGTGAGTTTATCTGTCTGCGGGGTCAGAGGCAAGGACGTGTCTCAGTTACACTCACTGCAGCTGCTCTCCTCTGATCGTACTGCACCCCAAATCTACTTTAATCTCTCCGTTAACGATGGCCAGGGGCGATTTCGTTTTACCGCAACTTTTAGAAAGTTCTCATTGATTGAGTATTAAACTTGGCAGCCTTAATCACTGCTTCTGTGGCCCTGTCTTGTAATTATTGACTCTTTAAGGGACAGCTGGTTATCAAATCCTGCGTTTTGTCTTTCACTGTTGTAATTTATTTTTAGAGCATGCCAAGAGTTCATCTGCAGTCTTTAGGAGTGTGTGCATATCATGACTGAACCTGGAAACATGTGTTTGTCATGATCATGGAGATGTCTCTCCATGATCTCATGCTCCCTGCTGTTGTTTTATGAAATACTGGTACATCAAGTTTGTTAGTTGGGTTGAATGATAAAAAGCTAAATGCTCAGAATTTGTTGCTCAGAAGACAGTTTTTATATACAGATGCTTTATCACTAACATAATTTGTACCAATCAACTTCAAATCCATTAAAAGAAGGCAGCACTCAAATTATTATTACTTAGCCTAATAATTGCTATTCTAGCTCATTCTGTAGTATTTTAGGATTCCCATGCAAATTTAGCTTTAGATTTTGAATGATTTGATTATTGATTGAATGATTTATTCAGTAAGTCATGTGTGGATGTTCCAGGTGTACTAAGGAGAAAGCACTCGACATGTATAGTAGTAGAAGGCTAACTGGGTAGCTATGAAATGAGCTGTCATTCACAGTACATGAGAGTCTACAGCCAGCTGCTCCATAAATGGGTGAAATGCTAATGTTAGCATGCTAACATGCTGGTGGAATAATATTCACATGTTCACAGTGGGTCAGCATGTTTACATTTGCTAATTAGCATTATTTGACACACCACTGAGGCTCATTGGTTTTGGTCATAAACCAAAGCCAAATAAAAATTTCACAGAGAGTAATGCTCTCTTTTCCAGGAACGCACTGATCTGTCACAGTCTGATCTAGCCATCAGCCCCACTGGAACAGTTGGGGCCTTGTTCAAGGGTACCTCGTTGGTGGTAATGACGGAAGGTCACGAATGTCTGTACAAAATGTCACTATCCATCCAATAATTGTGGAGAAATTTCAGTCCGGACTAAAGTGGTGGACTGCCCGAGATTACCGTCTAGAGCAGACCGTGGCATTGTACGGCCCCTGGGACGTCAATGGGAAATTAGGAATAAAACGTTAAATAAGTGTACATCATGCACGGAATACAACTGCATTGCTTTTATTTACGTACATTTGTACGTTCGTGAATGTGTGCGAGCAGCAGCGTCACTGCAATGTGTTGGCGATGCAGAGCGGGCACCGACATCTGAGGCGTTGCTAGCTAAGCTGCAAAAGCAACGTGCTCAGAAGATGTTGGTTCTCTTTGGATCGACCTACGTATGTGAACAAACATTCTCCGGGATGAAGTTTAACAAATCCAGATCCTCTCTCACTGACGATCACCTGTCAGCTGTCCTTCACATCTCACCTCACACATTCGACCTGATTTCAGTGCTCTCGTTCAAGCCCAACACTAGATTTCTCGCACTGAACTGAAAAATAGAAAATGAGGTCATTGGACTGCAAACAATAGTAATAAAAGTACTAACTTTGCAGAAACATGATCCCTGTCAGTGTTTTACTATTATATATGGATATTACATTATGTATATATTTCATTATTCCTGCTGCAGATGTTTAAGGTGGAGCTCATTTTAACACTGTTGTTCAGTTTGGGTAGTTAGGAAGGGTTTGAGAAATTATGTTTAAAGTAAGTAACTAACTAAAGCTGCCAGATAAATGTAGTGGAGTTAAATATACAATATTTCCCTCTGAGATGTAGTGGAGTGGAAGTACACCGTTAAACAAAATGGAAATACTCAAGTAAAGTACCTTGAATTTGTACATAAGTACAGTACATAAGCAAATATACTTCGTTACATTCCACCACTGATCATAATATTTACTCTTACCTCTCGCAGCTTATCAAAACCAAACAATTTACTGCTTTTTATAAAGAGGTGGAATAATAATGAGCAGGATTGAGTTCAGTCTATTGATCCGGCCCTCCACAACAGTCCCTTTTTCTCATGTGGCCCCTTGGGAAAAATAATTGCCCACCCCTGGTCTAGAGCCATGAAGCTAGCATTGTTAACACCTGATATGACAGCTTTAAGGCAACAGTGTGACCAGTCAATATGTCCCAGTTCATGGCATTTAGGCCCAGCAGGAAGAGAGAGGACAAAGATAAATATGATGGCCATCCTAGAGGGAAAGATACAGGTGGGAGGAGGATGATTGATTCTCTCAAACAAGGAAAAAAATCAATGTCACCGACTGATATCCTACTTTAAGTCCATTAGATCCATGTTCCACACAGCGCTGTCGCTGTAAGTCACAACAGCATGACTTCATCCATTAGTAAGGTTCTCCACCGTATTGACTCTGTTACATTCCAGCCTTATTACATTACATTAAAGGATGCAGGACAAACTTCAAAGTGAAGTTTATATTGGAACAATTATCTGAAGTGACTTGAGATCAAAGTTGTAGATATGGATGTACTTCTGCGGGTTAAATTCTGCCGCCCATCGCCTCAACAATGAAGACGGGAAACAATCTTCTTTGAAAAGCTGAACGGCCTTGGAGGTTGGAGGTGAAGCTCTGAAACTTTTTGCATTCCCGAGACACAAGCCTCTCAATTTTCTCTTTTCTTTCTTCTCCGAGATTAACAAAAAGATATACTGAGCATCACTGTCAACCTAATTTCATCCACCTTGCCAACTATTTATCATTTATTCTTAGAGGGCTGAAAGTTGGAATGAGTACAAACACCAGAACAGCTTACTGGCTCAAAACTGAGATCCTGGGAGTCCGTTTCTTCATCTCTCTCTCTCTGTCTCAATCGCAAAACCAATACACACTCACACACACCATGGCTAGATCTTCCCAGCTGGCCTTACAGGTGATAATCAGGGCATTATGGGTGTACCGTCTGTGCAGAACTGAGCTTTCTTGCCATCTGCTCTGTTGACATACAGGCTGACTTCACGTTTAGTAATCAGAGTATTCTCGCGACTCAATAGATTCTCTGGACTCTGTGAAATCACCAGACGGCTTCATGGAACGGTAGCCTGAGAGTTGAGCTGAGAGGGACGAGAGCAGATGAAATTATTAAGGGGAATGGATGACGAGACAAGCCAATCGTTGCCCGAACCATGTAATGCCGAGTCGCTTGCTGCATCCCTGTTTTGTTTCTTCCTCGGAAAGTGATTTGAATAACAAACACCCAGAGCCCTCAGCCTCAATGAAGTGTTTTTCCTCTTTTTCTCGCTCTCTCTTTCTAGCAACCACAGCCACAGCCACGGCCGATCCGCATCATTTCATCACAGACCGCACAGCCCACCTCGTTTCCCAAGCCGGTGCCTTCCATCCGGCATGCCTCACGGTCTTCTCTGCCGCCACACACGCCCCGTGCTGCCAGCCTCCCTAGCTGTCCCGGGCGGGGGAAGATGTCCAAGTTCCTTAGCCCAGAGGACATGACCTCACGAGACTACTACTTTGACTCTTATGCCCACTTTGGTATACATGAGGTATGTTGTTTTTTTATTCTGTTTTCTTGGTCCTGTGTCTGCTCTGGTTTATATTCATAGGCCCAGGTGTGTCCCATGTCCCCCGATTAACCTCCAGGTCTGCAGCTCTGGAGACAGAAAATGCAAAACAGCAAAACCACCAACTGCCCAAGATGTTGCTGTTCGGCATCTGATGCCATCATCAGTGAACACCAGTCATCCATCCTTTTGCAAACCTGGATGTAAACACAATTACGTTTGGAGATGCAATAGATCAAAATTGAAAGAGGAAATATCTTGTTGACGTTTAAATGGACAGTTGCCTTTTCACTTACCCATAAGTGCTCAGAAAATATAGTCAAACTGCAGACTTCCTGTTTGATGGTGGGGTTTATCCAAAGGAGTAATAGTGCTTATGAATAAAAGAAGAAAATAAAAACCATCTTATAATGACTCATAGGGTCAAGTATCATAATACCGTTGTTGTTTACTTACTGGCTTTCTTTGCAAGCCCATGTCTATAATGCATAATAAACATACATATATTGTGTTTTATTACTACTGTATATGATTATAATGCGCTCATTATATTTCCGTTAAAGAACCGCTAAATCGTTTTCACGCGGATTTTGGCCAAAGCTTCCGTTATTCATTGGGTCAGAAAATTGAAAAGAAAAATCAAGCAAAGGAAACTCACCTCAGTGAGTCGTGGACTAACGACTAAAACGACGAAGTCTCTTTACGAAGCACAGAAAGCCAGAGTAAATGAGTCAAATTGAACAACTTTGTGCTGCACACACCCGCGTCACAGTGTAGGAAAACACATTGCTATTGCCACATCAGTGACAGCAGTGGCTGGGCAGAAATCATGAATTGGCTTTCATAGTTACTTTTGCTCTGCTCAAATTGGTCTCCATCTTTTGCTTCTTCTTTTTTTCTCTTCTTGGACCTTATCATCTCAGACTCCTCTATTGTGTGTCGGTAAGGCTCTCTCAGCCTCCTCCTGCTCCGGACTACAACCTACAACAACTAAATGCTTTATGTCATAGGCGCTTAGAACCATGGCTGGGGTTACGCTCAGCCAAATCCATCAAAGGACATGAGATCTGAACCCTGCCTGGGAGAAATCTCTGCCTCAAGCTTAGCTCAGCTTAGCTCTGCGCAAAGGCTGGACTTGATGGCGAATGGTAGAGGATTGGTGCAACTTTACTTTAGCAGCTATTTCTAAGACAAATCTCCCTTTATGTGTCTCATATGATTTCAAGAATTGAATATTGTATCGGTTCAGCTGCATTGCCTGCGGAGGAAACATAATATAAAAAAAGCGTGACCTTGTGAGATGAATCTTTAATGTTTTTTTGGAATGTAGGACAGGTGTGTTCTTTTTGTCATTTCTAACTATTCTTCACACTCACACATATGCGTGCACTCGGTAAGAAATGCAGACGGACTGAGCCTGGAGGCTCATGGTGATTATTCAGTGACACCAACTATAGATTTGAATATAGAGCCATACGGCAGAGACGAAATAGAGCAAGATTAAGTGAAGGCTGTGTGCTATTTGTCACCGCTTCACTGCGGATATCACAGCAAATCCAGACCTCCATGTCCATCCAATGTTTTCAATTCAACAAAACAAAATTTCCAGCTGTGTCAACATCTTCAAATCATTCTGTCATATGCTAAACCAGGAGATGCTGAAGGACGAAGTGAGGACGCTCACCTACCGGAACTCCATGTACCACAACAAGCACGTCTTCAAGGACAAAATCGTGCTGGACGTGGGAAGCGGGACAGGGATTCTGTCCATGTTCGCGGCCAAAGCGGGGGCAAAGCACGTGTATGGGGTAAGACGTGTTTTCATTTCAGTGGAGCGTTATCATGCTGAACCATCAGGGTCCAATCACTGCGGAGCCGCTCGCACTCTGTGCATGTCCATGTGTGTGTACGACTGCCTCCCTGTATATACATACTAACCACTTGTACGTCAGGCGCCCTGTAATGTTTCGAGGAATATCTCGTCTGACAGGCAAGCGATAAAAGTGTGTGGCCGCTCAGGCAGGTTGACAGGCTGAGCCGCAGCGATTTAAGAGCTCTCTTTTCATTGTGTCCCGCGGCAGAAGTAATTGGTAGTCAGGGCACATCTGAGAAATACATGCCGGATACACACCAACAGTTTGGGATAACCACGTGGAAATTTTTGCTCCAGACAAATGGAAGGACCGGGAGGGTTAGGGGGTGATTAACTTGGAATTGCCAAGAGACTTGTGCTGAGCTACTGGTTGACATTATGTGTTTATGTGTGACTTTGCCTCGCATCCCATATTTGTTTTCCTTCTGCTGCAGTCTCGCTCAGTTCCTCTATCTCTCTTTTTGTACTTTAAAGTTCACTTCACGCTTTACCACACACTATAGCGTTACTCCTGCCCATCTGGAAAGGCTTTATCAACGTAAATGGGGCTAATATTTCGGGGATTTGGTTCACCTTTGACTTGGATGCTCTCAGTTTGAGTTCTGCACCAATGCCCGATGCCTTTATCAAAACTAAAGCTCGTAAAGCTCCATGTGAAAGATGGGCTTGAGAGGTGGAAGGGCTGGGCTCTGGGCCAACAATAGCTTCACTCTGTCATATGGACCTCGTTACATAAAAAAGAAGAGTGATAACCTCTATTCTGGCTCCACAGAGTAACCATAAAAGACTCTCTGCTGAATTCTATACCTATCAGAGTAATATAATCACGATAAACTGAGCTCACACTTAACAGACGTTCATTTTGAATTTAATATTTTTCTTCCTGAAAACGTTTTAGGGAGACAATTTTTGAAGAATGTAAAATTTCACAGACCTGTAGCAATACAGGAACGGTTACCGGCAGGAGAGCAGTGTGTGGGATTTTATTTAAACCCCAAGTACAGTAAATAAAGAGTGTGTAGTGTGGTCAGTCCATGAATAATTCCAGCTCTCAACAACCCCTGGTATTAAACTATTGGTGGCAACTTCAGTCCACCAGCTCACACGTGCAGATTGTAAACTGCCCGCCATGAAATCACAGAGGGCCGATGTAAACTAGATCTTCAAGCAGATATATCAGGGTCCAAACGCGACTCTGAAATAAAATCATGGTGGAATAGGGCTTTAACAGGTGGTTTGATATGTGAGGGGTTAGCAGCACAGTGACAGGATCTGATCCAGGCTTGGATCACATGGATTCAAGAAATGTTGCATCTCATGCACGAGTGACAAAGAGTCTTGTGGTTTAGATAACTGCTCTCTGCATTGCGGTTAAAACCTAAAAGACAAAAGAGGATTTAAATGCAAATTGATGAAAAAAAATAATAATAATAATCATAAGGACATCTAATGATAAAGCCAGTTAGAGTCAGATACGTTTCGATGTAAGAACACCCCCAAAAAAATCTTTTTCATTTTGTTTGTACAGTATGTAAAAAATACACAGGGATGTAAATTAGCATGTGATGTGACATTTCCATGAGGCTTCAGCTACGTTCCATTAAACACACTTTTCTTAGAATTTGATAGACCGTAAAATTTGGGCCGGAATGTGTTGAGTTGAATGCAACAGCTGTTTCTCCCTGATGTAGCAGCACTTGCTAAACGTTATCTAGTTAAGTTAATAGTATATCACAGCTTGTTCATGTGATTATTGTAGAATTTATAATCAAAAAAGCTTGAGACGGCTTTACATTCTTATAAAACTAAAGAAATCAAACTGAAACCAAAATCAAATCCTGCATATGAATAAACAAAGATGAAGTGCGGCTCATCTCATTTCTGACTCACTGTATGAGTCTCAAGGGCTCCGACAGAGGGGAGCAGCGCATGACACCTGAGCGAAGTCAGAAATGTACACTTTGCTGCGACTCCAGAGAAAAGGACTTGTGGCAGCACGACAGCGACGGGGACTCTTCCCGACACCAGTGAGAGTGTGTTGACTGCAAACACGCCTCGAGGCCTCAGCGCTCCCACTGAAGCATGACGCTGATGGACACATGGCTAATGGCTGTCTCCTGTCGCAGCGATTCAGAAAAAAAGATGAGGAATCGTTGCCAATTAGAGGGCTGACGTTGGCAGCCCTATTATCACAGCAATGCACTGGGATGCGTACACCTAGTGCAACATGTGGCGCTCCCGTTTGTTTTTGCAGTTGATACAGTCGGGTTTTTAATAGGTGTTGTGTGTGTGAGCAGTTGATGGACAGAAGACCGTGGGCACCACCAGCAGCATCTTGACCAGCCCTCCGCTAATAGGCAGCAGAGAGCAGGGCTGCTCCAGGGAGGCTGTTCTAATGTCAAGCACCCTGCACGCACGCTCAGTGGGGAAACTGAAGACCTCAGCTAGAAAGCAGAAGCCAGAATTGAATTCCAGTCTGTGTGTTATACTGCAACGACAAGAAAAAGAAGATGGTATCTCCTAATTTGTCCATCTTTGGTGTGTGGCTCTACTGTATAACCCTTTTTTCTGCCTCTAAAACAAAATACTTAATTCTTCATGAGAGTCCGAGGCAACAGCTGAGTGCTTCTATTTTTCAGCCGGCTCCCTCCACAAGGCTCCCAGCATGGGTTTGCCATGAGTTCATTCAGGAGTCCCCTGCTTGATTGCGAACAGATGGATCTCCTGCCGCATGAATAAGTCCGCACACCTCTGACAAACAGAGTCCCAGGGGAGGTGGAAAAGAGTGCACACACTCAGGTGGAAATCTATACTCTCAGACTCCCCCGATGCTGAAAGAGATCAGTATTGACAAACGCCTCCTCCTGAATTATGTTCTCATTTTGTTTGGAAGCTGCTTACTAAGAAGTGTCCGGGGTTTATTCTGATGAATGATGGAGGCTTTATTATGTTGTAACTCTGCTATTGGTGGCACCTCAATAAATCAGCCATGAGTCCTGCATTGGTGGGCGGAGGAAGTACAAAATATGTCAAGCAAGGAGCTGTTGACTCAGAAAGAAAAAAAGTATAACAGAGAGGGCATAGAGGAAAATGTGACAGAAATGTGGGTATTTCAGAAGGAGAGCTATGGGACAAAAAAAGGCAGCGCGGTAGAGGATCATTTAAAAGAATTTAAAATGTCAAAAGACTAATTAAACTACAGGTTGAAGCTCCCACTGGAGCCAAACGACTGGTTGCACCTGAGTAGTGACTAATCTTCACCCTAATTACTTAAAGTAAGATGCCCTGGCAGCGTTCCAGGGTCTGGTCCCCTTGCAAGTTCGATCCTGTCTTGTTCCTTTGTCTTCCACAGTTTCAGCTCGACCCCTGGACGTCTCTTGCAAAGCAAAGTTAACCGAAGTGCACAATGTCAGATGATAATCCCTCCCTTGTTAGCTACCTTCTGCCGTCAGGCTCACTGTCACAAAATACTGTAAGTCATTTAAAATAAGCTACTTTTTGCCATCAAACTCTGCAGACAGGAAAGAAAATCCCTTTGAGAGAATGCCTTCACAAACTCTAAGCTGGTTAGCTGTTGTATCTCACCCCCCCCCCCCCCCTTTCTCTTAAAAACTGGCAGAGATCCAGCTGCCCAGTTTTCAATTCCCAAATCTGTTTGCAAGTGGTTTTATATTCGGGACTGCGATGGAAGCCACCCACACAGAGATACTAAACAAAGATGACCTTGTTTGCCACCCCAGAGAGCAACTTATGGTGGCTGCACTGTTGGACAAGCATTCATGCAGGGAGCAATACATCAAGAAAAAATGTTTCAATTCTGGACTTTGTCTTTACTCCAAATAACAGAAGGAATTGGAGTTCACTGTGATGAATCCCTGGAGAGGTAGAGCAGCCAGATGAACACACAGTCAATGATCGTCACGCTTCCAGTAACCTCCTGAGAAGAAAATAAATTGCATCCTGGTATTATAATAAAACAGCACGATCGTTCTTTAGCAGTGGCGGGGGGGGGAGTACATTTCCACCACTGTTAATAGTGGTTTCCAACCTTTTAGGCTTGTGATCTCCCATAAACCTACATCAATTATTTCCCTCTGCCAATAATCATCTTGTGACCCACCAGATTTATCTTGTGACCCCTTTAGACGGGACTCGACTCCTTGGGTGTGAACCACTGGACTAAAGTAAACTTTACGTTCAGTACATTGTGCTGCTAATACTTCTGGACGTTTAATTAGGGCTTCTCATGCAGGACTTTTACTTGTAATGGAGTATTTTCTACATTGTATTGGTACCTTTACTTAAGTGAAGGATCTGAATACTTCTTCCACCAGTGGTCTTTAGTGACTACCTGTTACAACCACAGCTAGCCATTACAAATCGCTAATGTAACAAAACAGCTGGATGAACTTCAAATTTGAGGATTCAAACAATGTAAAGCAGTGTAATAAAAGTGATGGGACTTGCTCTGATGGGGATCTCCTTGCATCCCCTTTCAAACTGAGCCTGATGTATGTGGTCAATTCATGCTGACTGAGCTTTTGAGGCATTCCAGTCAACATCAGTAAAGCTGACATTTAAAGTCTTGTGAATCTGCGTTATAGGAAAACTGAGGACACGTATGTGTTGAAGACCTTCCATTAAAGATATTCTCTTATCTTTTATCTTTCTATGGTCATTTAATTATTTCTTTCTATTTTTTGTTCTGTCAGATTGAATGTTCCAGTATATCAGAGTACTCAGAGAGGATCATCAAGTCCAATCACCTCGACAGTGGTAAGAGCCCCCCCCCCCCCCAGAAGACACTGCACTTCATCTGCAGTGAAGGGAGCTACAGACTAGCTTACCGTCGTGACAGACATAGTGAATGAGGAACAGAGAGGGAAGGCTGGCAGATACGTATGAGGATAAGAAGGAGGAGATTTCGTGTTCATCATTCCGTACTGCACTGGGCCAGCTCATTTATATTCATTTGCACAAACATGCTGCCAACTTATGGCACTTCAAAGCATATGTTTTCAATCATAACACCTCTGTAGCTTCTGGAAAAAAAAAAAGACACCAAAGCTACTGACTGTGCATCTACCAAGTGATCGCTCCATAAACCAACCTGTCAGCCAATGTTCTGTCTAGAAGCCTATGAATATCAAGTATGCACAAGTAATTGAAAGGACAGTGAACACTAAGTTTCAAGCAGGAACACATCCCCAGTTGGAGTAACAGGGCTCGCATGTCATTCTGACAGACACTTTTTTATCACCGGGTAGACTCTTCAATAACTTATTGGCAAAGCAGAAAGAAAAAAAGCTGAAGTCAGCTAATATCTGGGAGGGCAATGATCCACTCCTCCACTGTAAATCCCAGCAGGCTTGATTTCCATAACAACACCCTGGCTGCCATGGTAGCACGTACTCTATATACCTGTTTCTTTCTGTCTCACACTGCAGTTTATTTCTTGCACGCAGTGATACAATATTGTCACGTACTGTATATGCATAATTGATGTATTGACTTTTAAGGGCATTGTCATTCCTACATTTCAGCGTTAGACACTTTTCTGTCCGCCAAAATACAAAAAATTGATTATGACCTAAAAATACGTGTCGTGTGTTGCAGTGATCACCATCTTCAAGGGCAAGGTGGAGGAGGTGGAGCTTCCTGTTGAGAAGGTTGACATCATAATATCTGAGTGGATGGGCTACTGCCTCTTCTACGAATCCATGCTCAACACCGTCATCTTTGCCAGGGACAAGTGGCTGGTAGGATGTGTGGAGTGTGTGTTGATGTGTGCATAGACATGATATGTAAGTGTATCCTGCATTAACATCAGGCATCATATCGATAGAGTGCAGTATCTAGAGCTTAAGGCTGAAATGTATTGTTTAAAAAAATGAACTGATCATCTAACAACAGTCCAAATGAAATTCACAGCTATCGGTATTAAATTAGTAGCTATGTAGTCTTTAAGTACTACTTGCAACCCTTCTTCATAAAACATAAAACGATCCAATAATTGAAAGAACAGCAAACAGTAGACCAAAGTTCCTCAACTTTATTAATGTATTTTTTAAGGTGCAATATACAGGATTCAGAGCATTAATATAGCAGCAAGCAACTATTTGCTCCGTAAAGATATAGTGGATTGACGTCTACCTGATTAGAGAATGAAGTCGCTCATAGCCGGACCGGCCGCGCGGGCTTTTAGTGCATGTGAGCGTGCATGTGAGCGTGCACCACTGGTTAGCCTACGGCCGCTGCTCTGCACTGCTCTCGTACGGCGGTTACAGCTGACAACGCCGTCCCGACCGATGTTGTCGTTGCGGAATCGTTGCACACACCCTCTGGTTCCGCCTCAGGAAAACACTCTTAGCTCTGTCAGCTCTGTCGCCGTAGTTTGCACTGTTAGCGCTGTTGCCACCATTAGCGGCAAGCTGCCAGCTCAGCCGTCGCCCTGGTGAGAGCCGTTCAGAGTCAATAGAAATGCTTCCAATCTCGTATTCAGCACCTTTAATATAGTCCACTCAAAAATGCAATGATCATTACAGTAACAGAAAGAAAACAAGCAAGGACAGGAAAGACTTATTATATTAATAAGAAGTCTATAATGTTTGCAGGAATGTTGCATAAACCACTTATATTATTGTTTATTATCTTCTGTGATTGGAAAATAATAGTTATAGTCGTATACATCATAAACAGCTCTGCTAATCCAGTCTGCGCACAGAGGGAACACTAACATCTCAATAATTTAAGGTTGGTACTTGGCTGAGGAATTAAATGCCCCCGGTGCTGTGATGTCGACCTTTTATGATGTATGTTCAGGATTAATTGCAGAGTTATTTCTTTGCCTCGTTTGTCAAACAGAAACCCGGCGGATTAATGTTTCCTGATCGCGCCTCTCTGTACGTGGTGGCCATAGAGGACAGGCAGTACAAAGACTTCAAAATACATTGTGAGTTCAGTGTGAGTGTGTGTAAGTGGGCATTACCTGAACCTGGACTGTGAAATGACACACACTTGTGCTGTCCCTGGCGTCCTCTGCGTGGCTCTTGGGTGGCTGTAACCAGGATTATGTCTTTGCATTATAAGTGAAGCGCAGGTGTAGAACACCGCCCACACCTCCGCATTGCACTCACACGAACGTGGGCATACTCACACACACGACCTTTCCAGCTCTGCAAATGATTTTGAACTTTTCCTCAGACATAACACTGGGGGTAATTGAGTTCGTTTTTCTGCTGTAGTCATTGTGAAGCCAGTGCACAACCTAAAACAGTCATGCAAAACACAACAACAGCCAATAGGCCTCCTACTCACACTCCCCCATACATCTGGGAAATTATGAAAACCACACTACACCATGAGAAAGTCAAATCACATTGGCTCACTGCTATGCAAAGCTTTCCAATGATGTCTGGATACCATTATTCTGTATTTAAAGTGTAACACATAGCTAGAGTGGTGAGACAAGTGCATATATTGACCAAACACTGTTTCTCTGCTGGTCAAGATGACCTTTCGACTGAGTTAGAAGTGGCCTTCGCAAGCACTCCAGTATTCTAAGAGCATCCTGTGGACATTAGTGCGACTCTGGGCTGAAAAGTGCCTTAGTTAAGTGGGCAGCATGATATTCAAATAGAGCTCATAACAATTCCATGGGGGTTAGCAACCTGTTCGTTATCACCAGCTTTCCTGCGCTCTAAAGTAGTTCTCTCCTTTTGGGTCATGATAGAGACGTTTGCTCACACACTATCTTAAGGAGCTTAATGAATAATGTATGGAATGATTTTAGCCAGAAGCTGCAAGGATATTCAAGGCAAGAGTGTGTGCTGCGTTCAAGGAGGCTCATGTTTACAAATCATCCCCGAGTACAAAATGAAAATGGGGGTCTCACTCTGGGGGTCGTATATCAGATTATTCTGGGAAGGTCTACGAGTGAGACTGCAACTATTGTTGTTTTACAGCTGCAGCCCAACTGTTTGCATCTCCTGTGGCTTTTTCCCACCCTAAGAACACTGAACTAACTGAATCAAAACTTGGAAAGAAGAAAACTTTTGTCATTTGTTTTCATTTTACAAAAAAATAATTGAGAACATGCTGGCAAAGTAACTCAATCATGCTGTATTTACCAGGGTGGGAGAACGTGTATGGCTTTGACATGACCTGTATCCGTAATGTGGCCTTGAGGGAGCCACTGGTGGACGTAGTGGACCCCAAACAGGTGGTGACAAACGCCTGCCTCATCAAGGTTGGTAACATATTTTAGCTAATGGCAGAAAATGGATTCATCACAGAGCCTGACCAACTGTCAGCTGTAGAATCAATGCAGTGCAAATGAGAGTTGACGTTGGCGGATACAGTTGGATTACCATGTCAGTTATTGTCAGATGTCAGAAATACTGCTTTGTGTTTGGTGTTAGCATGTTAGCATGCTAAGACATGAAACTAAGATGGTTATCATGGTAATGATTGCACCTGCTTAGCATCAGCACGTTAGCATTGCTGACATGAGCTTTTAGCATCAAGCACCACCGTGCGTAAATGCTGCCTCACGGGCAATCATCAATGTTCAGATTAAAATGTTTCCAGAGCCCTTTTAGAACTTTTGTCCACTTCAGTTGCGTCAGTGACAGCTGTTGAGAAAACTACACGGGCCATTTAATAGCTTTACTAGGGCTTTCAGTCATATCCCCACAAGTTTTGAACTAACACGTACATCAAAAAACTTAGTGCTCAGAAGAAATGTTAATCTCAACATGTAGAGGGCGAACTCAATCTACTGATGAAGATCATTTCATATAAAAAGCCCAAGAATGGCTACTAAATGGACCTTTGTGGTGAGATTGTTTTCTTACCTTTACATTACTGATTATTAACAAGGTATTCTGATTATATCATTATATTCTACAATATCAATACATTAGAAGTCGTCCCATAGACAATGCTGAGTAAGATGGCTACTATAAACTAATGCAGAGTTGCCAGCATGATTGCAGTGGTAAAACCCTCCCACATTAACTACAAGTGAAATAATTTGGCAAACATACTGTATGGAATGCTTTGGCTGGTTTGAGTACAACCTTGATGTGTGGCTGTTGCCCTGTCTGTGCCTCTCACTGCATGGATTACACTGATAAAGCTGCTGTGCCATGCATGTCAATGGCAGCCTGTCTAGTCCTTCTAATTGTGGTCTTTGTCATACTGACCTTCTTATCGCTGGTATTGATTGGATGGCTCTGCCCCGTCTCGCCTCTGACTCGGTGAAAATTGCTTTGTGATCACACCTTGGACTTCAGTGTTGCTGATTGTCAAGCTCCCACTTTCTTTCCCCCTCTGATATCAGACAGCCTTTCATTTTAAAATGCAGCGAGATATTACACAAATCACGCAACAAGATCAGTCATGACATTTTAATAAAAATATCTATGAAGCTGATGAGAATGCTGCTTGTCTTGGGATCTAGTGAAGAAGAAAAAAAAAAAAAGAAGCCTTACCACAATGATACCCTGCTGACAAGCTTTATTGTCTTTAAATGGTTTACTGACCGACCTCATTAAAGTTGTATAGCTGAGGAGTAGCACACATAGGACCTCATGTTATTAAACTGTTGCTTGAAACTTTGGTAGCAATACTCACTGATCAAGACCAAGTATCATCCTGCAGAAATAACCACCTGCATGACAGGGCTCTTAAATATGTTATTTTGCATTCAGAGTAATTGCAAGGGTGTAAACATTGTACTGCATTATATTGCAGTCTTAAACTTTGAAATGTGACTTTGAGAAGTTTATACTGCATGACTAGAGTAAATATCTGGTAAATGTGTTTATGGGAGTGATTATTGTCTAAAGACAGCAGGGGGAATCTGACATTAATATTGCATTGTTTTTTATGCCAGCAAACATAAGGCTCATTCCTCCAGAGCCCATGTGGCATCTGGCACCAAAGCTAGCAGTGAATGTCTAATATAGCCGATGGCAGAAGAAACATGGTGATCACACCTCTGCCTTACCCCTGCAGGGCACTGTGTGTTTTCGGGTGGGCTGCACTCCCCTGTGTTTCTCAGTGTTGAAAGCTACACGATATGTTGGCGCATTGCCATTCACCCGACGGGAAACCAGGATCTGGAACAAGATGTTCTTCTCTGAACCGGGCCTAGTGGGACGATGGGTTATCAGATACCCTGTTAAACTGACTGGAATCAGGGGACATTTACAGATTTTGGGTCGCTAGCACCATGCATGAATAACAACTGGAGCCTCACAATAGTTAGAGCTCCCAGGACGACGCCAGTCCCCCTATCCTTGTATTCTTGATTGTCATTGGGATCTTGGCACAGTCCCACTCGAGTATAATGGTGACCCTATATCGTTCTGGAGGTAGAAGCTGTACTGTATTTCTTGGAGTTGTTTTTTGGTCTCCTCAATGTCATGTATTTGGCAGTACATATAACATTTTCTTGATTTTTAGATTGTTGTAAGGTTGCAAGATCATTAGTTGGAGGTTTGAATGGGGAAAGGGTCTGGTTGAAGTCAGAACTACGACATTGGCATTTTTGGAAATATGCGTGGACATGTCTGCACCCTAAAAATCCAGCTGACGCCAGCAGCTGGTTAGCATGGTTTAGTCCAAAGGCTGGAAACAGGGGGAACACAGCTAGCTTGGCTCAGTTATTAAAATGTGACATCTTGGTTGTCTAATCCAAAACATGTTGTTTCAACACTTTAGTTTTTGTGCAGTTTTCAAGCCAGCGAGCTGTTACTCCATTCTCAGTCTCAGTCTGCTAAGCTAACCAGCTGCTTGCGGTAGCTTCATATTTAACATGCAGGCATTAGAGCGGTATCTTCTCAGCTAACTCTGGGCTAGCTAACACATATGCAGACTGCGCTTCCCAAAATGCCCTTTAAAAAAAGAGAACAATAGGGAGAGTTTAATGTGATCAATGGTTTGTAGTGTCAGTTTTGTTCATGTGCTACAGATATTTAAGAGTTCATCTCTTTACTCCCGCAGGAGGTGGACATCTACACAGTGAAGCTCGAGGACCTCTCATTTACCTCAGCATTCTGCCTGCAGATCCAGAGGAACGACTACATCCATGCACTGGTCACCTACTTCAACATCGAGTTCACCAAGTGTCACAAGAAGACTGGTTTCTCCACCGGTAGGATGCCTCACACACTGTCTGTTACTTTACATACAGGGATCGGTGTGTGTGTGTGTGAGTGTGGCTTTAAAGCATTGGAGCTTTTTCTATCACCAGCCCTCACAGCAATAACACAGCACCACTCAGAGGTCAGGTTCAGTATTACTCTATTCTGACAGCACAGCAGAATGGATACTTCACTTATAGTTGGCAAGTTTACTTGCAAAGCTCTAATGTGGTCTTTGTTGAGACATTGAAGGCATCTATCACAATAATAAGTGTCATTGTCACTTTACATTACAGCAATCAGGCTGGTTGCTATGATCCAAACAGAGCTGGACTGGAGTGAGCAGGGGGGACGTTGTGTCAACATCTGTGTGTGACTGACCTCTAGTGGTAGTGGTGAATACCGTGCATTGAAATGATATGTACAGCAGAATGTATTACTCTAAAGTTGGTTTGAACAGTACATCTGTCTGCCCTCTGGTACCGATAATCTTTTATTTATCAAACTATGGCATCATCAGAACCTTGCATCTTTTCCATAAAGAACTATATTTATATACAATCATTTCTTAACCTAAGCTTTCTCTGCCCTATACCCACTTCCCCTCTATTGATTTTCTGTAAGTTTGTCTATCAAGTAAGTTTTCCAATGTCAGACCTGAGGACTCCTGGTCTGCCAAAACTTTAAGACACAGATCTAAACTTACACACAGAGAGCCAAACGTGCAATCGAGTCCCCATTTGACATTCACATCAGACACACACAGACTCTAAGCAAAAGAGAAAAAGGCAAGCGGGGGGTCAAAGATTGCAACACATGCTGGTCAGTAGAAATGCCATGTCATCTACTGAATTAGCATAAGAAACGCAGCTCGTCAGTGTCTCTTTTGAACTCTGCCCAAAAAAACGGAGAGCCCAGCCTATGCAGCAGCCATGGTGATTGGCTAGCCCTTCCATCTATGGACTCACAGAGAGCTCGTCTTTGAAGGCAACGCCACCAAGCTGACAGAAATTCAATTTTAAAGGTTACCGAACTTTTGAGTCTCTGTAAAGCCATCGGTAATGTTCAGGGCACTGGGGGATGCTGACACTTATTTTGGGGGCTGGGGTGTCAGATTTTACCTGTCTGTGTTTACACACACACACACGCACGCGCACACACACACACACGCGCACACACACACACATAGATGAGTGCACATAAGGTGGCACAATAGACACAAAGTGATGACAGAAGATTGACTCGAGCAGAAGCGGAGAGGTCACGAATGCGGTCATGCATTTCCTGCCTTTTACTTCCACTCTTAGTCTTGAACTCAAGTGGATCTACTTGCTCTTTTTGCACCATTGCTTCACAGCTAGAAGGACGCGGACTCGGTTCAATGCCTCAGCTCTTCCTCTGTTTGTGCCGAGTCTCATCCTGACATTCACGCCAGGTCGATAGAAGCCCATATTGCTGTAAATCTCTGGTAGCCCCATGATGGACTGACAACCTGTCCATGGTGTCTCTGTGCCTTCTACCCGGCGTTTGCCGGCATAGACATCAGATCCTTGGAGATACTGAAGAGGGGTTAACTGGGTAGAGAAATAAAAGACAAGAGAATGACATATCTACTGTTCTCAGTCGTTTAGTTGGCGTGTTGCCAAAGTTTATACCTTTGTTGGTTCAACTTTCTTATCAGGAACACACAAGTTTAAGTTGGCTGTGATGTCCGAGTGTGGATCTCGTCATCTTACCGGTTCTAAACTGAAGGAAAGCGTCGCTTGACTGGAAGCCGAGCGCAGAGAGAAAGACCAGAGTTGATTAATATTATAAAGAATTCAAATGTAACAGACGGCTTTCTCAATGGCTAAACAATAATTTACTAATGCTTTGTATATCAGTTTTATGCAATTAACAAGAGCAACCTTTGGACAGCCAGATAGTGGAAAAACCCTATTATGTCTCTCAAATTCTAATGAATCAGTAGTTACAAATGTCAAGTCACTGATTAAGAATTTATCGTTTCTCTGCCTTTGTAAACGTAAATAATCTGTTAAAAACTAAGTTTTGATTCTCTGCTGCCCTTTACCAAAAGGTAAGTTGTCTTTCAGTCATTGTGGGCTAAAGACCAGCCAAAGGGTTATTTCACAACCTGGCAACCAGTAAACACTTTTTATAAATGGCTTATGACTGATCTATAAAGCATCAATAAATGATTTATAAACCATGACTAACATCAGAAGTTACAACTTCTAAATCATTTATAAAGGCTGCTTTATTAGACTGTGGTACCATTTTGTTAGAATATTAAAATGACTGTACATTTTATAAATGTGTGTGTTTGTGTGTCCCAGCACCAGATGCTCAATACACCCACTGGAAGCAGACGGTGTTTTACCTGGAGGACTATTTGACGGTGCGGAGAGGAGAGGAGATAGTCGGCAGCATTGACATGAAGCCCAATGAGAAAAACATTGTGAGTATTGTCCAGTCTAATGTCCCTGATGCGTAGTGTGGTATGTGGAATAACAACACTAATGGTAATGACATCTGCCTAATAGTGATTTATCGTTGTGTATGTATGAGAACATATAGAATGCGAGAAAATAAATAATACAAATAGAATATAAAAAGTGTTTCACAGTGTTATTTGAGCTCTTATCTTTATACCCTGTATCCGAGCTAAGCGATGACTAATTTCCTCCCCTGCCTGCCCACGACAGATTGTTTACTCCTCAGTGCTGGATAGCAGTCAAACAGGCAGCAGCACTGCAGACAAACAAATTTTAAGCGGGGTTCGCGTCCTTCTGTTGTCTCACACAAACAGTCCGTGCTTACTTAACACCACGTTCTGCTGTCAGGTCAAAATATGGAAAATCTGAGTCTCCGGTCTTATTATTTTTTCACAGTTTCTACTTACTCATTGCCTCCTGTCCGTCTGACAGCCATCTTTCTTTTCTCCCTCTGATTGACCTGCAGCGCGACATAGAATTTACCTTCGAGCTGGATTTCAAAGGGCAGCTGTGTGAAGCGGCCATATCCCATGACTACAAGATGCGCTAAGTTCGGCTGGGGGACGATGGTGCCCCGCTGAGTACAACCCCTGAGCACCAGAGGGAGACAAGAGACACTCCCACGTCCAGAGACAGACACAATGTGTGATGTAAGAAGGGGGGGGGGGCAGAGAATAAGAGAAAAGACCAGGCCAAAGACCAAGCAGAGTTGGCCCCGTTGGCAATATCACTATTGTCAACACAGTGTTTGATGACAGCAGGAAGTTACTCGTGCTTGCTGTTAAACAAATCTGAATGTAACACCAACAAACAGAGGTCAGGATTATCTCCTCGTCATGATGAATGTTATTGATGTGCATACATGTGAGATGGAGTGACGTACCTGTGTGTTTTGTTGTTTTCCACAATAACCTGGAACTTATGGAGGGATTTTTGAATTACAGTAGAGCTCATGTAATCAATAACTGTTGTCCACATTCTGCTGTAGGTAGACAATACATTCAAGGTGTAAATCTTATGTCATTTTATGTACCGTAGGGAATGATCTGAGAAACACTTTCATTTCTAGTTGTATCAATTTAGCAATGTTGGAAAACTGACAGCACCCGAACGCCGCGGCCAAGGACGAACCTGCGTATATGTGTAACGTGAAAGGTAGCATGTGTTTGCATAGTCATTGTTACTAGTAGCTTTCTGTGAGTGTGTAATAGAGGGTGTCACACTGTTGCACAGCTTGCACTGCCCAGATGTTCCCTGTGTTGTCAGTTTGAGCAGTGATGTTGACATGCCAATAACATCCCTTCCCCATCCTAAATGCCTTGACCAAGTGCCGAAATGTTCCTAGTTTTTTTCCGCACTGCTGCATTCAGCTTTTTTTCCCCTCTTCCTTCTATATATAGATGCTAGCCACTCTCTAATAGTTTAGATATTAGAGATTGCTTCAAACAGTCTCAAGCCATGAAGCTTTTTTTACTACATCTGATCCATGTCAAGCAATCGAACCCCACATCTCTAAATGAGTCTTTAGCAAACCAGATGACCTGCAGTAACCCTGTACCAACTACTGGGTTTGAATCTAATGAGACTGAGAAGAGGTTTTCTTCCAACATGCCTATAAGTTCCTTTAGTACCGTCACACGATGTGGTACCAGACTTTACAGACTGTAAACGCATCTCAGTCTAAAACGTGCTGCGTTGCACACAGCTACAAAACCATCTTTCCACTTCACTTGTGCTCTTATAAAGGTCATTGCCAACCAACCACTGGAGGGGGTTCTTCACTCAAGACGTGGATCTGGGCAAAGATTCCCTCACGTTAATATTCCTCGTAACGCTTTAAACTACTGCTACTCTCAACTAAATACGTTTAAAAGCCATTTGGTAACACATTATCTTTCCCATGTTAATCCCAGAGTGTGCTGAATGCTATTGTTGACACAGCTAAGCCTCTATCCCCGTGTCTTATATATCGTGCAGAGACCCCGATGAATCTTTTTCAGGGCTGTTACCAAAGTGTACAGTATGAGCACTTGGGACCAATAGGAGGAAACGATATTTATAAAGCATGCAACTAATGCTAGTAACAATCAACACATAGTGCAGTATGCTGCCTTCTCAGAGCACACACTGGCTGGCTGGTACTAATAAGCAATACACTGTTATGAGTCATTAATGCTTACAATCAACAATACATGATGAGTCATATGTATTTAGAACAATACTGGTGTTGAAAGAGCATCTGCCAGTTACATCTTTACAGAAAACGTATTCTGAAAGCCCGCTGCTCAAATGAAACCCCAAACTATATAGTTTATACGTCACACTAATTCCAATAAATTGGCATGTTAATTCCACAAAATATGGAATATGTTGTTTCACATTCTGTTATGTCAACTTAAAAAAATTGAATAAACAGCAATGTCCAAACTCGTCCACTGGGTGATGCTGTATAACTTATTTGAATTTCAAGGTACCAGGAAGAAGGAGTCCTTTACACATGACATTAACAATGATTTATTTATTAGTTTTTTTGTATTTACATGTTTGTTATATACATTAAAGTGATGTGCAAGACACTGGCAGTAGTGGAGCACTATTAGTGACCATAGTGCAATATTAAATGGTGAAATCAGAACTTTTTACCAAAGTCCGTTAATTATGAACCTTGCTGAAACATACAGATTACATAACTAGCTTAACAAGTTATAGTGACACCATTTACATAGAATACTTGGCACAGAGGCAGATTAAGGTGATACACATCATTTCGTCTTTTTGGGGAAAAATAATGGTCTTTGTTATTTTCTAGACACACGACTGAGCCGACCTCCCAACTAAATGAACAACCTTCAGCACTAGTACAACAAAAAACAACAAAACTACAGATCAGTGAAAATATACAGAGGACAAAATAACACAAACGGCTGTAAATGCTAATATGACAGCCCTGCAACAAATGCTACATTTGAAGCTAATCATTTTCAGTTTTTCTGAAATACACCATGTATTTTGTATATTCAGACAAAACACAGAAGCGCATTACTTTGGTACTGTGGTGCACGGTGGTCGTTGTTTTGTTCTTGTTGTCCACCATGTGAAGAAACTAAGACACCCGTGCCATATCCTGCAATGCCACATTACACTGCAACTAATCTCAGCCCTAAAAGTAAAATCAACACCTCTCTGACACACCAAAAGCTTCACCACGGTAGTGTTTACTGCAAGGGTGTTTGATAAAGCTTTACATGTTACAGTTGTTTGTGTTTTTATGTCAGTGTCATGTATTTGTAGAAGCTAAAACAGCTAAAAAAATACACATAACACTGATTGAATACTTAAATATATAGAGTAAAAAGCCCACATGTGAAAGATAAAAGGCCTCCGGAAGCTAAATAAATATTTGACACACACACACACACACACACACACACACACACACATTTAAAAACAGAAAAGGTCTTAGTTTGACTCAAAATGGGCTCAGTTTGATTTACATTTGTTCAGCTGATATATATATATATATATATTTTTTATTTTTTTTCCCCATGAACCTTTCTTACATTATTCTACTTCTCATTTTACTAATATTTTTTTCAAGCTGCAAACAACTTGGGTAAACATAGAGCGGACAGTTTAGAACAGTGCGTTAACATCTGTGACACATGACAACGTACATACAGCCCGTGGTGTTGGGTTCACCCAGAGTGCCACAAAGTGGAAGACTGTGAGAGAAACAGTTGTGCTGACGTTCAGAATAACGTGTCCTCATGTGGTCTTAGTAAAAGGGTAGTGCTACTGTGTGTGTGTGTGTGTGTGTGTGTGTCAGCTGTTTTACTGTCAGCAGCAGGATCTCTTCTTCTCTGAGGGGCCGCCGATCAGCTGGACCGTCTTCTCCTTCTGCCTGTCCTCTTGCTCTTTCAGAATTCTGAGGGACACAATGAGACATAAACAAATGAACCAGTTCTGGGAGGACACGCAGCCGTGTGTCCAGCGTGCACACATTCGACTGCTACTGCATCCAACCTGCGCATGCTTCTGTTCTGCTCTGTCTGTGTCAGGTCTGTATAGGCTCTCATAGTCACAACACTCCCTGCTTAATTGTCATGTTGGTGTGAATTAAATTGTTTGAACATTGTCATGGACATTTGATTGTGCGATTCACGCTAATGAAACGCCCGGAGCCAGCTGATAAGAAAAAGTCCTTTGAACAAATAAAACATTTGTATCTCTGTGCTCTGCCTTATGTCAGTACAGAAATGACCCTTTGAAAGCTGTTCAACTGTATTTTTAAATTAATTGTCCCCACAAATGTGAAATTCTTTCCCACAGCACTGCACACATCAGACAGCAGTAAATACAACAGCACAAAGAGAGGTGGTGGCTGGGTGTGTGCGTGTGATGTCCCGTTCTATTGTGGTTGCAATGGGTGCAATGACCTTACTGTTTAGCTCTGCGAGATTGGGCTATGCGTGCGAGTTTGGCCCGGTTACAAACACATAACAAGAAGCGTGTTAAACTTAAGTGCCGCACACAGAAGCCATTACTTTTGCTCACCTGGCTAAATGAATCATGGACTCCATCACACTGTGTCCCGTGCATGCGCTGCACTCATAGAAAGCCATCTGGCAGTCCTGGAAAAGTAGAGGACATGTTTCAACTTTTTGCACATTGATCAGGGTCAAAGGCAAATCTGTGCTAATAGTTGCAAAAGCACAAAGAAAAAAAAAAAGCTTGTGTAGCAATATTACCTCACCTTTTCAGTCACCATAGAAACTACATTACACATCAAAGACTAAAGGGTAAAAAACACTAGGATGAGATCGCTTCCTCGTAAAACTCTATTCTGTAATCATGTTTCTTTCATTTACCATAACTCAAAACAAAATGCACCACTGGACACCGATTAATCCTCTAGAACCTTGAGCTTAGCGGACAATACACCAACAGACCTTGGCTAGTCTTTCCCCCACTCCTTTCTGAACTTCTCTCTCGACCTCCTTGTCCGTTTTGTTTCCCAAGAGCATGATGGGGATGTCCTCGCCTGCGCCGTCCTGTGAAAGAAGAGAATACAGATCTTAAAAGAGCCCCTCGCAGTTAAAAGACTAGGCCACCAGCTTCCCTGTTGCTATTGGCTCCCCAGCGGGAAACCAGCCAGGTGTATGGACGCCTCGCTGAAAACAAATTCAGCAGCCGAACTTCATTTACCGTATATACACATCTTCTACATTACAAAACTGTAAAATATATTCTCAACACATACCCACTCTTACTTACTTTTACACAAAATAAAAGCAAAACATTGGTTCTGCTCGTGGTATTTCTGTGAAGCACAGGGTGGCTGTTAGCGTCTTACCTTCACACTTGTCAGCCACTGTCTGACGGCTGTGAAGCTCTGCACGGTTGTGATGTCATACATCACAACCACACCGTCAGCCTTGCGAAAGAATTGTTTGGTAATGCTCCGATACCTGCAGGAGGAGAGGGAGGGGCGGGGGGAGAAGACCAGAAGATGACGTGTTTGGCTTCTGCTCCAAAAATCCATGAAAACTCTCTTTTGGCTTCAGCTGCTGTTGTACAACTTGTGAAAATACAGGAACAATGCTTACAGATGAGATCTGAGGTGGATTGCAGTACATAGACTCTTTTTGAATGTGTGCATGTCTTTACCTCTCCTGTCCGGCTGTATCCCACAACTGCAGTGCCACCTGGCTATTGTCCACAGCTATTGTCTTCACACTGTAATCTATACCTGCACACACACAGACAAGAAAGTTGTTTAGTCAGCACATTGTTTTAATATTGTTTACTGTATACTGTTCCAACAACACTAGACAAATGATTCTGCATGTGCGTGCTAATATGCAAATCTATACATTGACCTGAGAATGCATGCGATTGTTGCCAATGTTAAAGTAAAACTATTTAAACATGATTATTGTTTATACTGAGAAAATAACGTGTGGCTCAGTGGAGCTGAAGAACTAAAACTGGACATTTTTATATGCAAAAACTTCCAAACTTAACTTACTTATTAAAAAAAAAGAAAAAGGTATTTTAAAGGCTTAACATGAGCACCTTGACTGAAGTCTTAAAGCACCTGTATTTCTTCTAAGCTTTAAAGAATGAACTTTGAAGATATTCTTCACAGGCCGATCCGTGCCCGAAAACCAAATATCTTACGCCAATACATCTTTGAAGACCAAAACGTGATGCTTTGAATGAACGTCTCACATTGGGAGAAATGAGAGAAAGTCTCGCCTCATTTCATTACATTCTAGACAGGGGACAATATAGGTGAAGTCAGCTGGGTTAGCCAG